GTGTACAGTAACCTGAGGGGAGTGAGGTGAGTGCTTCTGAGGAGAACATGAGCAGTGAAGATTCACCTTGGAGCTAGAACAGAGACATGCACATGATTATACAGGGGCAGGGGCTCAAGTTTTTTCCAGTCGTTTATACAATATGGAAATTAATGTGAAATTAAAACACAAAGTATTAATAGAAAGGTAATGACTGTCCTGTGTAGGTGACAGTGATATCCAATAGGCTAGGCACTCACGAGGCTGGCTGTGGCAAGTGTAAGTGAAAGCAACACGCACTGGCAGGAAGAACAGCAAACGCCGATGAAGGAAAAGGGTCTTTGCAGTGATGGGCGTTACCAGAGAGGGCGATGGCCAGAGGACACAAATGGGACGGGGAGGCAGCACGTTGGGGGGGGGGACGCGACACGGCTCGGGCCCGCCAGTGCCCCAACGGGGTCCTAGTTAGGGCCCGAGCCAGCTGCAGAGCAGCCGGGCGTAGGCCCTATTATTCCCCAAGTGGTTTTTCTTTGTTTCTTTCTTTCTTTCTTTCTTTCTTCTTTTTCCTCCCCTTTGAACTGGAAAATGGCCCACTTCCCACTGGCGAAAACTCATGAAATTTGGCAGGACGACCGGGCCTGGTGAAAAATTCGATATTCTGAAGTCGCCCAAACAATAAAATGCAAAATGGCTCCATAGCGCCCCCTAAGGTGGAAATTCACACTATTGACTGTCACGCCTGTACGCTTTGTCATATTGACACAAAAATTGACACACATATGTATCTCAATAAGATCTACAAAAAAGTCAGTGCGGCCGTATCTGTCAAAATTACGGTTAAAGGGTTATTTCGCATTTTTTGCCGATCCGCACACATTGGAATTTCGCTAACTCCTCCGAAGGCTTTCGTTCCACCGGCACCACATTTGCTCAGGCCAATCTACACCCCGTGGCCATTAAAAGTTATCAAAATCATGACGCTGCACCCAAAGGTTTAGGTTCTAGGGGGCGCCAAAGATAACACTAAAATCCACATATTTAAAAGTCTTATAACTTTTTATTTTTGTCCTCACTGGCCTCCAAGTTTTCTAGGATGATGCAATGTCCAGCCATCAACACATTTGTGAAGGAATTTTTACTCCCCAAAAGAGCGCCCCCCCATGGCAGGAGAAAAAAGTCCATTTTTTCTTGTCCCCTAAGGTGAAAATACACATTGTTGACTGTCACGCCTGTACGCTTTGTCAAAATGACACAAAAATTGACACACACATGTATCTCAGTAAGATCTACAAAAAAGTCAGTGCGGGCGTATCTGTCAAATGTACGGTTAAAGGGTTATTTCGCATTTTTTGCCGATCCGCACACATTGGAATTTCGCTAACTCCTCCGAAGGCTTTCGTTCCACCGGCACCACATTTGCTCAGGCCAATCTACACCCCATGGCCATTAAAAGTTATTCAAATCATGACGCTGCACCCCAAGGTTTAGGTTCTAGGGGGCGCCAAAGATAACCCTAAGATCCACATATTTAAAAGTCTTATAACTTTTTATTTTTGCCCTCACTGGCCTCCAAGTTTTCTAGGATGATGCAATGTCCAGCCATCAACACATTTGTGAAGGAATTTTTACTCCCCAAAAGAGCGCCCCCCCATGGCAGGAGAAAAAAGTCCATTTTTTCTTGTCCCCTAAGGTGAAAATACACATTGTTGAGTGTAACACCTGTACGCTTTGGCAAAATGACACAAAAATTGACACACACATGTATCTCAATAAGATCTACGAAAAAGTCAATGCGCGCGTATCTGTCAAATGTACGGTTAAAGGGTTATTCCGCATTTTTTGCCGATCCGCACACATTGGAATTTCGCTAACTCCTCCGAAGGCTTTCGTTCCACCGGCACCACATTTGCTCAGGCCAATCTACACCCCATGGCCATTCAAAGTTGTAAAAATCATGACGCTGCACCCCACGGTTTAGGTTCTAGGGGGCGCCAAAGATAACCCTAAAATCCACATATTTAAAAGAATCCACATCCCCCCCCCTATGGCAGGAGAAAAAGTCAAGTTTTTCCTGCCCATCGCTCAATGGCTCAATCGCATCGCTCTCCAGGCAACACCGTAAGGAGGAGCAACCTGGCATTTCGATATATCATAGCTGTGTTTGTGCCCTCACTCATGGTCCAGACTTTTTTCAAATAGGACATGAAGTTTGTCTGCAGCGAGTGTTTTGGTAGAAACTGCGCCTCCCATTCATTATAATGGGAAATGACCACAGACAAGTGCGCACACCATCTTTGGTTCTTGAGTGTGACTCGATCGGGACGGGGAGGCGGTCGCACTGGGGGCGGCGCGACGCGGCTCGGGCCCGACAGTGCCCCACCGGGGCCCTAGTTTCTTCTTTTTCCTCCCCTTTGAACTGGAAAATGGCCCACTTCCCACTGGCGAAAACTCATGAAATTTGGCAGGACGACCGGGCCTGGTGAAAAATTTGATATTCCGAAGTCGCCCAAACAAGAAAATGCAAAATGGCTCCATAGCGCCCCCTAAGGTGAAAATTCACACTATTGACTCTCACGCCTGTACGCTTTGTCAAAATGACACAAAAATTGACACACACATGTATTTCAATAAGATCTACAAAAAAGTCAGTGCGGGCGTATCTGTCAAATGTACGGTTAAAGGGTTATTTCGCATTTTTTGCCGATCCGCACACATTGGAATTTCGCTAACTCCTCCGAAGGCTTTCGTTCCACCGGCACCACATTTGCTCAGGCTAATCTACACCCCGTGGCCATTAAAAGTTATCAAAATCATGACGCTGCACCCCAAGGTTTAGGTTCTAGGGGGCGCCAAAGATAACACTAAAATCCACATATTTAAAAGTCTTATAACTTTTTATTTTTGTCCTCACTGGCCTCCAAGTTTTCTAGGATGATGCAATGTCCAGCCATCAACACATTTGTGAAGGAATTTTTACTCCCTAAAAGAGCGCCCCCCCCATGGCAGGAGAAAAAAGTCCATTTTTTCTTGTCCCCTAAGGTGAAAATACACATTGTTGACTGTCACGCCTGTACGCTTTGGCAAAATGACACAAAAATTGACAATCATGTGTATCTCAATTAGATCTACGAAAAAGTCAAAGAGCGCGTATCTGTATAATGTACGGTAAAAGGGCTATTTTGCATTTTTTGCCGATTCGCACACATTGGAATTTCGCTAACTCCTCCTAAGGCTTTCGTCCCACTGACACCAAATTTGCTCAGGCCAATCTACACTCCATGGCCATTCAAAGTTGTAAAAATCATGACGCTGCACCCCACGGTTTACGTTTTAGGGGGCGCCAAAGATGACCCAAATATACATTACAGTAGACAAAGTAGTTTTGCCCACTGAGTGGCGCCAAAGGGACTTGTCTGTGGAGTCTGTGAGTCACTATTGGCCGTTTTTGACTACTTTAGATTTTACCTTTATATTTCCTCTTACAAAATTTTTACCTTGCCTTGCCTGGTATCATTTTTTTCAGCACAACCTCACCTGTGTCAATTTACAGTTATTTTATCATTTTGACATACTATATTTACACATTGGACCCAAATTCACACACAAAACATAAAATCCGACTGGAAAAAAGTAACGTTTTTACTGTGAAAACCACAAATATGTGTGATGAACTGTTTTTAAAACTTAATCTTCAAATAAAAATTGTAAACTTCAAAACATATGCAAATTTTTAACAAAGAACATAGTAATTTACCTCTATTTACATCAAAATGCAGGCAATGGCCCAGGTGTTCTTTGTAAAATTATTTACAAAACACTGTATAGTCTCACAAATGTCACTTTTTATTTATGCCACTACAAAAAAACATGATGTAAATGATGCATGATGTAAAACATGATGTAAAAAACTTGTGTAGATCCTCCTCTATGTCAGTCCATGTGTAATTTTTCCATAATTCTTTGTTTTTTGCAGCATTTTTGTTAGTGTAACTGCAGATTGTGCTGACAGTGTCTATGGCAAAAAAAAAAAAAAAAACTGAAAATGCCTCAACATGAACCCCTGGTGGTCTCTGAGGGTGAAACCTGCTAACTGCTGCAGCTCTGTCAGCTTCAGTCTCCCATGCAGAGCTCGGAGCGCATGTGTGGCTCTGCACCCTTAGCAGCGTTGCTAACTCCTCAGTAAGGAAAGCCTGCTTCATGTCAGAGTCTCTAAACTCCAGAAGAAGTCGATAAAAGTCACTTTCTTTCTAAAAAAAAAGTCGTTAGGGGGTCTGAAAAGTCATTGAATCTAACAACAAAGTCGCTAGGTTTGCAACTACGTGTCCCAGACTGCATCCCTGCTGAGAGTCCCTCCCTCCCTTCTCATATTGCAGGAAGAACGTAAGCGCCCGCCCCTTGTCAATCAGTCACCATATAATTTTGGATTGGTTGTTGTGGTGAAGTTTTCCACCAATAGGAGAGATGTTGTGGTGTGTTTTTTTTTTCCTTTGGCAAGCCTTTTCCGCCTGTAAGACCTGTCGCTAATGTCTGCATGCTATGTTTTCCTGTCTCATACAGCGCGATAGAGCGCCGAACGTGATCAAAATAAGCAGAAAACAAGTATCGCGGACATAATTTATCATAACTCTGGTTTTATTTGGCCTATCAACACAATTTAAAAACTGGTATATAGGTTGAGGTCCTCACTTTTGAGATAAGTTGAAACGGAGTCAACGAGGCTCCGTCTTGCAGCTACATCCGGTTAAATATGTCATGTGACTTGAACGCGCACACACACACACACACACACACACGCACACACACACACACACTCACTCAGAGTCTGGTTTTTAGCACCTGCAAAAACATGCTATTTACATATTTGACAAGAATGCAGAGGCTCCTTTTGCCCCTGAAAAAAATCTAATTTCAAACACAACTTGACTGGTCATTTCTCCAAAAGACAACCATGAAGCTCCATCCAAACCTGAAGCAGGCAGTTGGTGCATGTGTACAGTAACCTGAGGGGAGTGAGGTGAGTGCTTCTGAGGAGAACATGAGCAGTGAAGATTCACCTTAGAGCTAGAACAGAGACGTGCACATGATTATACAGGGGCAGGGGCTCAAGTTTTTTCCAGTTGTTTATACAATATGGAAATTAATGTGAAATTAAAAAACAAAGTATTAATAGAAAGGTAATGACTGTCCTGAGTAGGTGACAGTGATATCCAATAGGCTAGGCACTCAAGAGGCTGGCTGTGGCAAGTGTAAGTGAAAGCAACACGCACTGGCAGGAAGAACAGCAAACGCCGATGAAGGAAAAGGGTCTTTGCAGTGATGGGCGTTACCAGAGAGGGCGATGGCCAGAGGACACAAATGGGACGGGGAGGCAGCGCGTTGGGGGGGGGACGCGACACAGCTCGGGCCCGCCAGTGCCCCAACGGGGTCCAAGTTCTTTTTCCTCCCCTTTGAACTGGAAAATGGCCCACTTCCCACTGGCGAAAACTCATGAAATTTGGCAGGACGACCGGGCCTGGTGAAAAATTTGATATTCCGAAGTCGCCCAAAAAAGAAAATGCAAAATGGCTCCATAGCGCCCCCTAAGGTGAAAATTCACACTATTGACTGTCACGCCTGTACGCTTTGTCAAAATGACAAAAAAATTGACACACACATGTATCTCAATAAGATCTACAAAAAAGTCAGTGCAGGCGTATCTGTCAAATGTACGGTTAAAGGGTTATTCCGCATTTTTTGCCGATCCGCACACATTGGAATTTCGCTAACTCCTCCGAAGACTTTCGTTCCACCGGCACCACATTTGCTCAGGCCAATCTACACCCCATGGCCATTAAAAGTTATTCAAATCATGACGCTGCACCCCACGGTTTAGGTTCTAGGGGGCGCCAAAGATAACCCTAAAATCCACATATTTAAAAGTCTTATAACTTTTTATTTTTGCCCTCACTGTCCTCCAAGTTTTCTAGGATGATGCAATGTCCAGCCATCAACACATTTGTGAAGGAATTTTTACTCCCCAAAAGAGCGCCCCCACATGGCAGGAGAAAAAAGTCAATTTTTTCTTGTCCCCTAAGGCGAAAATACACAATGTTGAGTGTCACGCCTGTACGCTTTGTCATATTGACACAAAATTTGACAATCACGTGTATCTCAATAAGATCTACGAAAAAGTCAATGGCCACGTATCTGTAAAATTTACGGTTAAAGGGTTATTTCGCATTTTTTGCCGATCCGCACACATTGGAATTTCGCTAACTCCTCCGAAGGCTTTCGTTCCACCGGCACCACATTTGCTCAGGCCAATCTACACCCCATGGCCATTAAAAGTTATTCTATTCATGACGCTGCACCCCACGGTTTAGGTTCTAGGGGGCGCCAAAAATAACCCAAAAATCCACATTTTTAAAAGTCTTATAACTTTTCATTTTTGTCCTCACTGGCCTCCAAGTTTTCTAGGATGATGCAATGTCCAGCCATCAACACATTTGTGAAGGAATTTTTACTCGCCAAACGAGCGCCCCCCCATGGCAGGAGAAAAAAGTCAATTTTGTCTTGTCCCCTAAGGTGTAAATTCACACTATTGACTGTCACGCCTGTACGCTTTGTCATATTGACACAAAAATTGACACACATATGTATCTCAATAAGATCTACAAAAAAGTCAGTGCGGGCGTATTTGTCAAATGTACGGTTAAAGGGTTATTTCGCATTTTTTGCCGATCCGCACACATTGGAATTTCGCTAACTCCTCCGAAGGCTTTCGTTCCACCGGCACCACATTTGCTCAGGCCAATCTACACCCCATGGCCATTAAAATTTATTCAAATCATGATGCTGCACCCCACGGTTTAGGTTCTAGGGGGCGCCAAAATAACCCTAAAATCCACATATTTAAAAGTCTTATAACTTTTTATTTTTGTCCTCACTGGCCTCCAAGTTTTCTAGGATGATGCAATGTCCAGCCATCAACACATTTGTGAGGAATTTTTACTCCCTAAAAGAGCGCCCCCCCATGGCAGGAGAAAAAAGTCCATTTTTTCTTGTCCCCTAAGGTGTAAATTCACACTATTGACTGTCACGCCTGTACGCTTTGTCATATTGACACAAAAATTGACACACACATGTATCTCAATAAGATCTACAAAAAAGTCAGTGCGGGCGTATTTGTCAAATGTACGGTTAAAGGGTTATTTCGCATTTTTTGCCGATCCGCACACATTGGAATTTCGCTAACTCCTCCGAAGGCTTTCGTTCCACCGGCACCACATTTGCTCAGGCCAATCTACACCCCATGGCCATTAAAAGTTATTCAAATCATGACGCTGCACCCCACGGTTTACGTTCTAGGGGGCGCCAAAAATAACCCTAAAATCCACATATTTAAAAGTCTTATAACTTTTTATTTTTGTCCTCACTGGCCTCCAAGTTTTCTAGGATGATGCAATGTCCAGCCATCAACACATTTGTGAAGGAATTTTTACTCCCCAAAAGAGCGCCCCCCCTATGGCAGGAGAAAAAAGTCCATTTTTTCTTGTCCCCTAAGGTGTAAATTCACACTATTGACTGTCACGCCTGTACGCTTTGTCATATTGACACAAAAATTGACACACATATGTATCTCAATAAGATCTACAAAAAAGTCAGTGCGGGCGTATTTGTCAAATGTACGGTTAAAGGGTTATTTCGCATTTTTTGCCGATCCGCACACATTGGAATGTGGCTAACTCCTCCGAAGGCTTTCGTTCCACCGGCACCACATTTGCTCAGGCCAATCTACACCCCATGGCCATTAAAATTTATTCAAATCATGATGCTGCACCCCACGGTTTAGGTTCTAGGGGGCGCCAAAATAACCCTAAAATCCACATATTTAAAAGTCTTATAACTTTTTATTTTTGTCCTCACTGGCCTCCAAGTTTTCTAGGATGATGCAATGTCCAGCCATCAACACATTTGTGAAGGAATTTTTACTCCCCAAAAGAGCGCCCCCCCATGGCAGGAGAAAAAAGTCCATTTTTTCTTGTCCCCTAAGGTGAAAATACACATTGTTGAGTGTCACGCCTGTACGCTTTGGCAAAATGACACAAAAATTGACACACACATGTATCTCAATAAGATCTACGAAAAAGTCTATGCGCGCGTATCTGTCAAATGTACGGTTAAAGGGTTATTTCGCATTTTTTGCTGATCCGCACACATTGGAATGTGGCTAACTCCTCCTAAGGCTTTCGTTCCACCGGCAACACATTTGCTCAGGCCAATCTACACCCCATGGCCATTAAAAGTTATTCAAATCATGACGCTGCACCCCACGGTTTACGTTCTAGGGGGCGCCAAAGATGACCCAAATATCCACATTTTTTGAAGTCTTATAATTTTTTATTTTTGTCCTGACTGGCCTTTTGTCCCACTGACACCAAATTTGCTCAGGCCAATCTACACCCCATGGCCATTCAAAGTTGTACAAATCATGACGCTGCACCCCACGGACAACCATGAAGCTCCATCCAAACCTGAAGCAGGCAGTTGGTGCATGTGTACAGTACCCTGAGGGGAGTGAGGTGACTGCTTCTGAGGAGAACATGAGCAGTGAAGATTCACTTTGGAGCTAGAACAGAGACGTGCACATGATTATACAGGGGCAGGGGCTCAAGTTTTTTCCAGTCGTTTATACAATATGGAAATTAATGTGAAATTAAAAAACAAAGTATTAATAGAAAGGTAATGACTGTCCTGTGTAGGTGACAGTGATATCCAATAGGCTAGGCACTCACGAGGCTGGCTGTGGCAAGTGTAAGTGAAAGCAACACACACTGGCAGGAAGAACAGCAAACGCAGATGAAGGAAAAGGGTCTTTGCAGTGATGGGCGTTACCAGAGAGGGCGATGGCCAGAGGACGCGAATGGGACGGGGAGGCAGCGCGTTGGGGGGGGCGGCGCGACACGGCTCGGGCCCGCCAGTGCCCCAACGGGGCCCTAGTCTGATTATGTTGCCTTCAGGAAAAGTGGGTACTTTGAAAGATATGACTAAACACTTTCTATACACCGTATTCACCTGATAGCAGTAAATACAGTTATGCTGAGGACACAGTTAATTTTTACAAGCTGTTTTGGACAACTCTTTGCAATTATCAATATATAAAAACTGTAAAATACAGCCGATGTTAACTTTAACACCCATACTTAAAGAAAAGATGTTTTCCGTTTCCACATACAACAGTTAAAGCAGCACAGTATCATGGACTACAATGGCATCCTCCTCAGCAAGAAACCTGTAGGCGTGCAGGTAAGAAATGTTATTTTTAGAAAAGGAACAGCAGAAATGATCCTAAATATCTTAAAGGGGGAATTATGCTTTTCCACATCAACAACAAAAACTGCAGTTACAAATTTAGTGTTCACATAATGTGTATGCAAAGTTTCAAATCACAAGGTTTCCTGAGCCACAGGCTGTGTCATAATTATCAGCTCATGGACTAAACTACCCTCCGGTGAAGACTGCTGATCGGACCCTGGTGTTGATCCTGGTTTTGGCTCTACTCTGGATAGTTTCCAGAGTTTTGAAGCACTTTATTTGATGTCATTTTAAAGAGGACCATTTTATTTTTCTGCGTGAATCACTTGGACAAACACAGCCGTAGCTTTGGTTCTTCAAGCAGTCAGTGACATACATTTTTTGCCTTGATTATAGTTTTTCTTTTAGTTTTGTAACATCTAGGAACCTCAGGGACAAAAACCCAGATACGGAAATACTTGGAAGACTCTACGTTTTCAGGAAATGTATGATATGTAGGGTTGGGTATCGTTTGATTTTGAACGATTCCGATTCCAATTTCGATTCCTCATTTCGATTCCGATTCCTATCGATTCTCTAATTCGATTCTTTTAAAAGGCAGGATATCAAAAAGAAAAAAGAAAAAAAAAGCATGGTTTGAATGAGGGTGCTAACCGGGGCTCTTCTTTTTGGATGAAATTTCTGAACTTCTCCATGAATTTTTAAATCCTATTAACTTTTTAAGAACTTTACTATGGATTTCTCACAGAGCTATTTTCAACCAGTATATAAATATCAATTTTTGTTTTCAGGTCGTTTGTCTATGAAAAAGCACAAGGGCTAACGTTAGATGGATATTTAAGTTTACTCACCGTACACAGTTCAATTTCTTTACCGTTTCAAAGTTAGCAGAGGACAGAAGTCATTTATTGTTTCACTTATCTGATCCTGACTGGTTAGCGGAAGACAGGTGTTGTGCTGTAGAATGCACCCCTGCCGTAGAATGCCTCCCCTTCACTGATTAGCTTCTTAGTGGAAGAAATATGATCTCATATTTAATAAAACACGGGTATTAGATCATGAAAACGTGTCAAATGGAGCAGTAAACTTTCGTTTTGTTTGTATGTGTCTCAAAAATGCAAACATAAAGGTGTACTTGGGTATATAAACTGTAGAGTAAGCTGTTAATGTAGAGAACATTATATTTTCAGGACAGTAAATATTCTGAATCAGAGGGCTATTGTTTTCGGCATATCTGAATAGCCTGAATGAAATCATTAAAGGCACACGCTTTAGATTCCGTCCAACGGTAAGAAAAACTTGGATTGTTTCGCCTTGTTGTGTACTTTCAACCGCGCTCCCGTCAGGGGTGCATTCAACAGCAGGGGTGCATTCTCTGGCACAACACCGGCGAAGCGCGTCAAAGACGAGCACTCGGGTATTTCTCCTCCATGAATCCTGAGGTGTTTAATCACGTTGGTCGTTTACCCTCCTTTGCATGATATAACTGTATTGCTAATGTTGCATTGAGATAAGAGCTCATTCTTCCTGCTAAAGTTAGCCAAACTTTGGACCAACGAAGAAGAAGCTGCCGAACACCAACGAGGACGGAGCGTATGAGACGAAGCCACACAGAGAGAGGAGAGAGACAGAGAGAGATTACATTGTAACCCACAGCGGCTGCATTGCTGTGGGTTGCAATGTACTTTCTCTCTCTGTCTCTCTCCTCTCTCTGTGTGGCTTTGTCTCATACGCTCCGTCCTCATTGGTGTTAAGCGGCTTCTTCTTCGTTGATTTTCGGCGGCTATTTCTTCCGGTCGGCGGACTCTGGCATCGAAACTTGGAATCGAAATTTTAATATTTGAACGATACCGGAAGAATCGAAGTTTTAGTCCCGATTCCCATCGATTCTCGATTCCCAACCCTACTGATATGCCCATAATATTTCATTGTGAGACTGTGGTGAGACGCCTCCGCTTCCTGCTTTATTCTGGTTTAACTACCTGTTGTTTTCCTTGCTACCCTGGTCTCGCTTCACTGCTTTCAGAGCACGCTCCCTCTCCCCGGTCGCTGAGGCTGAGCGAGACTCCACACCTGCGCTGCATCTGCAATCAAGGCCCTTTTAAGAAGCCAGCAGCCCTCAGTCTCAGCGCCTGAGTATTGTCGTCGCTCCTGAGAGGTACAGACGTCTCTCCTGCCCTTCTCCTCGGCTAAGTGCTCGTGACTTTTGCTCCCTGTGATTCCTTGTTTGACTTCTAACCACCTTCTCTTCTGCTTGTCCACAGTGTCTCCAGGCACACAACAGTCAGCCAGCCAACCGGACTTTCCTTGTGTCTTTTACCCTGTGCTTTGGACATTAAAAATAAATCTTTTAACTTGCTATCTGCCTCTGAGTCTGCTTCTGGGTCCACAAAATACACCACATGCCACAGAGACATTGTTGGGAGCCTAGGGCTGTCACGATATCAGATTTACACTTGACGATTATTGTGGGCAAAAAATGTCACAATAATATCACGATATCAACAAAAATTGAAATGATAATGGGACAATCATTTAAATTTGTCTTTTACTTTATTTATGTTGTTTTCTCATTTTTTTGGCAAACGAATTACACTTAAAATATCTGCACTTTTTGTATGCAGTTGTAGAGTTACTGTTTTTATGTTGTCTCAGTACCTCCTTAGACAATTACACTCAACAGCTAGCTAAAAGGTAACCAGGCGAACTGATAAACAGAAAAACCACAAGGTGCAACATCTGCCATGACATGAATATAAGCTGAAACAAGTGATGATAGATGCTAAATGATACAGTTGGCTTGATTGCGACAGAACACCTTAGTAACACAGTTAAATTTAATCGATCATCAAAGATTTGTGTTTTCCGCATTGAAATAAAATCCCACCAGTGAAACATTTGGGTTGATAAAAAATCTAATCTCAGGGTCTAATCAATAACACAAAAAGATATAAACATTACTTTTAGATCGTTACTCATTACTGTTAAGCTCCACAAATAAGAATTGTGTGGGTTTTAAGGTATACATTTCCATGAACCACTCTACTATAAGCGGTGCGTGTTTCCACGAACTGCATGTGTAGCGGTCGTACTTGCGTTGTGTGATTAATTCCGTAGAGAAACCATACTTCTGTGTTAGCATCGACGTTTATTCAGTACCTGGCAGAATATTATCATGGTCAGGTCTAACATCAGACATGCAGTCTCTCTCTCACCAGCGAGCAGCTCAGCACAACTGTGCAAACAATATAAGTGGTATAACAATATATATTCAAACTCTGTACCTGGCAGAATATTATCATGGTCAGGTCTCACATCAGACATGCAGTCTCTCTCTCACTGCAAGTATAAAATAACAACATAAGTACCCTCTTAAATAAGGAAATTAAAAGATAATTAAAACAAATAATCCCGGAGATCCGACATGTGGACTTAACCAGCGAGTAGCTCAGCACAACTGTGGTGCTAGCCTGGGGTTCACTTCCCAAATCCCCGGGGGGGTTGCATTTGAGGGCTGCAGGGAATCTGAACATCCTTAAAAAGAACCTAATGCAAGGCATGGCAAGTGAAATCACTAAATATTAATTCTAACGACATTACACATGCAATTGTCAGTGGGCAAGTGTTCTTGGCACAACACTTGCTCCCGCTGCTGTTTCATTACGGGGGTCAGTGCTTGTGTGTGAGGAGGAAGGGGGAGGGGTTGTTGGAGTGCTCCAGGGGGGAGAGGAAGCGGGCAGAAGAAAACGGGGGCCGTGACAGCCTTGTGTAAGCCATAAAAGAGAAGAATGATCCCTGCTCAAACCTTTTTCACATTGTCTCTCACTTCAAGTCGACTTTTTCAAAAATCATTACCTAATCTTGCCACATTGAGTGGTACCAAAGAGTAAAATTTTGGCCTCTGGTCTAGGGACTATTTAAGGAATAAAAAAGAAGGTGATTGTCTGAGGTCAGTATTCAAAGAGCTAGCAAAGGGAAACATCCACATTAACATCTAAAGAATCTACAAGTGTAGTGGCTGATTTGTGTGGGGTCTGCTGACTTTAAGGACCTTCATGTGAGCAAAGAGTGTCTGTTAGAATCAGCTTTTATCTGGCCCATCACTGGACCCCCTGAATCTGTTTGGCCACGCCACACTGCAGCAGTTCCATTTATACTGTACCTTCACGCCACTCCAGTTTGCAGCCTGCGGAGAGTGTGTACAAGAACAGAACAGTCCCCACGCACTGATGGCTCTCAATCACATTAGAAGGAACTCACACAAGGGGGACGATACTGAAACTGACACTGTGTCTGAAAGTGGAGCTGATCTCAGAGAGGTTTAGACTGCAGCTCTGACAGTCACCTCCACCTGCTGTGATTCCTCTGTCAGCCACTGCTGGATGAAGCTCTCCTCTTCCTCTTCTCCTTCCACTTAGTAACATGGTCCAGTCAGAACATTACCACACAGTCTGCTGCTGCCTCATCACAGGATCATCATGACTTTGACAGGTCACCACGTCAAACTGAGGACGGAAGACAGACATCAGAGGTAAGGCCAGTGTTTATACCATAGACTATATTATATAGACATAGACCATAGACTGTTTATTTGTCAGCTGAGAAGTTTGGCAGTTAACAGAAAATTAACAGTCTTTGCAGTGATATCACAGGTGTGCTACACCACTGCTGGAGCCAGCATGAACTGACCACATCACCATACTGACTCAGAGTCTCCAGTCTGAAGAGAGGATTATCAACAAGTTCAGAAAGCAGCTTCTCTCCTGAATCCTGCAGGTTGTTTCCACTCAGCTCCAGCTTTCTCAGATGGGAGGGGTTGAGCTCCAGAGCACAGTACTGAGAAACACAGCAGACGGCTGACAAAACGCATCTCCTCCATCTGAAAAAAAGAGGATGAAAATTTTCATTTGTTTCAAACACCCTTATCAAAAATCTTATCCTAAATTCAGCCAATGCCACGTTCTGATTTACTCACACATATAAGGCTTTGGTTGATCATTAATCAGTCAGAAAGTGAGTTTCTTTATCACCCTCTTTGTACAGACGTTTGAGTTTACTTATCTAGTGAGAGACATGTTTTCCTGCTATTTTGGTGCGCAAACTTTACAGCCTGACCTCCAACAGGAACCCCTCAGACACTCTGCTGCTCTGCTGTCAACATATGCTGGCATGAAATAGTGAAGACTTCTTATTTGATCTGATCCCACCTAACAAATGTCGTATTTTCAGACCACTATATTGATAATTTATTTTTCATTTTTGTGCTACACACTTTGGTAGACGACATCTTAATCTGCCTGACAGCTTCATGTGAAACCATCCATAAGTAAGGATATACTGGCTCACCTAAACCAGATTCAGTTTCTCTGCAGGCCAGTTATGCTGTCAGGTCTCTGCCTTAATTGATAGAGAATTTGTAACTCCTGTCACTGTCTCTCATGCATGAAGAAGGTTACATTGCTGCAGCCAAGCCCACAGCATGACAGACAGCTGGTAAAAGGTTGTCTTTTTTTTTTTTTTTTGAATATTCATGAAAAAACCTCACATTGGGTTAGGCTGTAGATTTCAGAATATGGTTGATATTTCTGTCAGAGACAATAGTAAGCTACATTATGCTGAACACTGTAAGAGAATTTATATAACACTAACAAGGGACTGCTTAAGATTTGATCTGTAGCCACTGAGGATAAGAGAAATGTGAGCTAATTTTGATGATGATGACATTAATCCTGTAATGGTTGATAGCGACATTGTGCCCAGAGTTTTGTATTCTAATCATCTGCCAAATCAATCAGCCAAATGATTAATCATTTTCTCTTCAATTCACACACCTGCCTGTTTCAACAGACATTAAAAACACAACATAGCTCTAATCACTTTAACATGATTTAAGTCAGAAGCTCTCCTGAATATAGATGCGCCCTCAAGAAAAAGGATTAACACTGATTTCATTGGAATAGAGAAAAATAAGGTTGAAACAGTTACTTTAGGACACCGATTTTGTAACTGTGGACTACATCAAGTACAAGAAACACAACAATTGGAATAAAGCAATGGTTAAGAAAGGATATCCCATGCATATTTGTCATGCATGAACATGATAAAATATCATTGTTTACATACCAGTATAAAACCAACAGTATTATTGACAGATACTCTGACCTCAGAGTCTCCAGTTTGCAACGTGGACTCCTCAGAAAGCCACACAGAAATTCCGCTCCTGAATCCTGCAGCTTGTTAAAGCTCAGGTCCAGCTCTCTCAGATGGGAGGGGTTGAACTTCAGAGCGGAGACCAGAGAAGCACAGCTGAC